GCCGCATACGACAGTGTCAAGAGAACAGTGCTATACCAATCAATGCATGAGTTTGGTATACCAGAGAAACTTATCCGACTAACGAGAATGACAATGTCTAACTTAGAAGCCACTGTTAGAATACAGGGAGAGAGTTCTAGATCCTTTGAGATAAAGGATGGACTCAGACAAGGAGATGCTCTGGCTTGCCTCCTATTTAATACTGCCTTAGAAAAGGCAGTCCGAGATACACGAATTAGGGATGGCGGTACTATTTACAATAGATCGATACAAGTCTTAGCATATGCTGATGACATTGACATAGTAGGGCGTATCAAGCGAGATGTTGAGCAATATCTCCTAGAATTGGAAACAGCGGCGAAACAGGTCGGTCTAGTCATCAACGAAGACAAAACCAAGTACATGTTGGTTACAAAGGATCCGATAGCAAATGAGGAACGAGAAACAGTCTTTGGAAGTCATACCTTTGGACGTGTTGACAACTTCACATACCTTGGGTCGCTATTGACTGCTACCAATAAAACAAGCGAAAAAATCAAAAGACGAATAAATCTTACAAATAGGACATACTATGGACTCCAAAAGCATTTCCACTCAAGAAACATTCAAAGAAAAACTAAAATTATTATATACAAAACATTGCTGAGGCCGGCCCTCACATATGGAGCAGAAACATGGACTCTAACGCAGAAAGATGAAAGAAAGACTTTTGGGAATATTTGAGCGTAAAATACTCCGCAAAATATTTGGAGCTGTAAACGACCAAGGGCAGTGGCGCAGAAGATATAATTTTGAATTGTATCAGCTCTTTGATGAGCCAGATGTCATAACGTTCATTAAAACACAGCGACTTAGATGGGCTGGACACATAATACGAATGCCAGAAGATACCATTGCTAAAAAGCTAACCACAGGAACACCTGTAGGAAAAAGAAGCAAAGGTCGACCACGAATTAGGTGGTTAGATGGAGTAGAAACCGAATTACGAATATTAAAAATCAGAAGATGGCAACATGTCGCCAAAAACCGAACAGAATGGCGACGAATCTTAGAGCAAGCCAAGTTCCACAGAGGATTGTCGAGCCAAAGATGATGATGACCTAAGGCGTAAATTCAGCCATATCTTCAATTGTATGGAATTAGATACTCCATTGACCGTTACCAATTGTTGGAGACATTTTAATATTTCTCACTGAATAACTATAATCAAAGAAGCCACCGATGAAATACGCCCATTAACTATAAACGCGTGTTGGAAAAATCTATGGCCAGAAGTTGTTATTGTAACCTCAGAAGTATCCCATAAAACAGAGGAAGTCGATGATATTCTACAAGTGATACACAAAATGCATGGGGAAGCCTTTGAAAATCTGCAATCAGGTGATGTTGAAGTTCTAGCCGCCAATGACAGTGAACTTACAGAACAGGAGCTCCTTGAAATACTGGAAAATAATAAAGAAAGCGATGAAGACGATAACTCCCAATGGTAACAGCCACGGCCGAGACAGCGGTCACGTCTCTCACTTTAAGCAACATAAATACAATATTATCATCTGCTCAAAAACTTCAGGATGTGGTTTTTGACGTGGATCCTTCTATGGAAAGGAGCTTGAAATTCAAAAATGGCTTAGAATGCTTATTGGCACCATACAAAGAAGCGCAAAAGGAAATTAGGAAGAAAATGAAACAGCCAAACATTATGTCATATTTTAAAAAATGAAGTTTTTAAAGTATTTTATACTCTTAATACACTGTATACATTTAATAAATATAACTATCTTACTGCTTAAAATTTATTTCAAATCCTTTATAAAAGGTATATAATAAAATGCCCAAACGGGCTATCACAAATATATTACAAAACGTTTTCGGATTGTTAAATCCATCATCAGTGTAAACCTGAAAGTAAATAACCACTTTAATTAAAAAGAACGTTGAATTTAAAATGTTGACTAAGGTTAAAGAAAATTGTGGTTAATACTTACGAGGTATACATAAGGACTAATCGTCCTTAGCCCTCTCTAACTTTGTTTAATATATCCAACTCTCCTTCTCTCCTCACTTCTGTCTAGGCACCCAACATTATCCATGCTCCTTTTCAACAAAATAAATTCAGAGCAGATTATTCCATTCCCTCTCCAAAAACAATTTTTCATTAACATACACCTTCACCTACTCAACCACATATCTTCACCTTTTCTTACTGCATTTTTCTTTTCTATTATAACTCCTTTTACCCATCCACTCTCCCTCAGGGTTTGGTTGTCGGGTCTCTCGGGTCTTCAGCCTCTTGTAGTTTTTTCACCTTTCTCTTCACAATAACAATTAAACATCACACATCTTTAGTAAATTTGACAGATCCAACTTAAACATAATTACTCTTACAGTTTCACATATTCTCACAATACACCCCAAAAGCCTATTAAACTCACATACCTACCTAAACTCAAATTTATAACTCATCCTTTTTTATTTTTATATTTCCCGGGCACCAAATGTTCCTTTTAACATATAGGGCCTTTTTGTTTTTCTTGAGTTTTAATTTGAGCAATGTATGAACAATACCATACCAAACCACCTTCCAGCCATCAGTTTTCTGTTGTTCTGGCATACGTGTCCACACACAAAAACAATCTACTATCTTTAATTTTCACACATAACCAGCAATTCATGTTCATGTACTTATAACTTGAAAAATCTTTCATTTTTACCAGGTGCCCAATGTTGTTTTTTTGACATAGAAGGCACTCCTTGCTTAAATTTTAAGTTAAGTACTACATGAACGTCACACCACAATCACATTCTTGTCATATTTAAATTTCAGCTCAAACTTTTTAGCTCAGAACAAATAAATCCATACACATGTATAGTTGGTTGCCTATTGATCCTACAAAATTTCATAAACTCCAGTTTACCCACATTAAATTTTAAAAAACCAATTTTTTCAATGTTTCCAATATAGCCATATGATTAATTCACATTACAGACTACAACATTGATGATTGATACTGTTACATTATTATAATTTTAATTTTTTCAATTTTAAATAATTCTGACATCTGTCATTTTTAGACAACTACCGTAAGTTACACTGACTGTTCTGACACAACATCCGTTCTAACATGTCAACAATGTCATTTTGATCAGTTGTTATCAACAGGTCCTCGAAGACACTTCGTCTCAGGACCATTTTACCTATGTAGGGTCATACGTCGCCATGTTACCAATTCTAACGGTAACTTAAACATCATAATTTGTAACCACATATAATGTAAAACAACCGTAAATGTATATCATTTAAAGGGTTTTGACCCATATATTTTGGTGGCTCATAGCATGTATACCTCGTAAGTATTAACCACAATTTTCTTTAACCTTAGTCAACATTTTAAATTCAACGTTCTTTTTAATTAAAGTGGTTATTTACTTTCAGGTTTACACTGATGATGGATTTAACAATCCGAAAACGTTTTGTAATATATTTGTGATAGCCCGTTTGGGCATTTTATTATATACCTTTTATAAAGGATTTGAAATAAATTTTTTGTGATATGATATGGTATACAGCCAGCTACAGGAACTTAGTGTCCTAGTGGATCTTACTGCTTATTTTATCGTTTCATCTATATAAATTGTACATCATTTCATCATAATTCTTTCTATGTGGTGGGCGAACCAGCTAAATACCGATCGAAACTTCGTCGGATTTTGATTACGGGAATCCCCCAATTTAAAAGTAAAGTTACGGTATTCCTAGAATCAAAATTTATTAAATAATACCTATTCTTTTTTGTTTTGGAATTAGAGGAAGAAGTTCGCACTACTATGACCTTATTAAATGTACACAATTTTCCTATTATATCAATTAAAGAATGGCAACTAGTTTAACTATTAAGAATGTTCTTAAATCAATGGAAGATGTGACTAAAATAATAAGTGGAGAAAATTATGTGACTTTATATTCAGTGATAATTGTGACAAAAGGACTTGAAAATATTGATATTGAAATGAAAAATGAAGATCTATTGCCTTTAATTCAAAATATGTCTGGCAAGTTTTAAAAAGTATTTCGCATCGCCTGGGAGACTTATAAAACTTGCAATCTTTGCTAGTGTCTAATTTTATTGATCCTAGATTTAAAATGTGGGATTTACTTCCAATCCTGCAGCTGAACGAGCCAAGGAATTCGTTATTAAATTGGTTACTCAAAAAATTTCCAAATCTACAGAAACAAAGTACTTTTCACTTCCACAGACGACAACACAGAAAATTGTTCTGCAGGTCAGCCTTCGGTATGGGGCCATTAAAAAAAAGCTGCTCTCTTTTCATCGATGACTATAGTATTTGCCACATCTAGGACCAGAATTAAGGTCCAGCAATACTTAAAGAAAGATCTCTTAGACAGAAATAAAAATCCACATCTTTCTAAAGTTGTGACAGAAAAATTTGGTACGCTTGCAACATATGTCCCTTGTGAGAGAATATCTTCTCCAAACCAGGGCAATTATTGATATCAGAAAGACGATCACGTCTTAGTGTAAATAATGTAGAAAAAGTATTGCATTTAAATGCCAATAGCGAACTTTAAATATATGTATATAATATCGAATAGACCACATTATATTGAATATACCACAATATATTTTTACCTTGAGTCCTGCTACATTGTTATTAGTATTATAATTATAAGCAGGTATTGATTCTTTATCAATACCAGTTTCTATCAATATTTTTGGTATTGCTTTAATGATACTATCTTGTTTTATCTTTATTTATTGTGAATTTCCTTTTTAACGTTTCAAGAAATAAATATATATTTGTTTTATTTTAAAACAAAATTTTTAAAAATGATTTTTTTTGGAAACTACTTCCGGATTGGAAATCGAAGCGTAAAAGCAAAAGTAAAATGCAATTCTGATTACAATCAATTGGGGTTTAATCCCATATGAAATAATATCTAAATTAGGTGTATATTTTTAAATAGAGAAAAATTTTATTACCTGAAAAAAGTCGTTTAAAAAATTCATTTCCTACATCCACTCCAGCGAAGAAATAGAAATTAGAAATCGCCGAAATCGCCAACAAAAAAGCTGCAATCAAACAATCCGTTCTCCTCTTCCACCTGTTATATGTACAGATTTTATCGAAAGCTTTTTCTCCTTTAGGCCAATAAATTTTTTCAAAAATTATACCAGAATAGTTTAAAATCGTCCAGATAAGTATGTTGACTTCTAATCCATGCCAAATATACACAAATAAAAAGCACACAAAGCTTCTAATTGGTTTATTTGGTGTAATTCGGACCAGAGGAATATAAATATGACTAAAATAAAATCATTAAATAATCAAATTAATAAGGCTCTGAAACTAATTTGTTGTGGCATGTCTAATTTAAATATTATGTTTATAGGGATTAAGCCACAATTATTGGTTGTAATGAAAATAACATCAACTAACCAGTATTTGACGTTTAGATTTCCACACCGGAAATCGTTCTCAAAAATATTTAAAAAAAATTCTGCAACAATGTATAACCCAAGCATAGACTGAGCATGCTAGCAACAAGCAGTGATGACAACATATTTTGCGTTTGTTCAATATGTCCCTCTCTAACGCATTGAAACTCCATTCGCCCCCTGTCGACGAACAGAGACACTGCTATAACTATTTGATGTAAGATAGAGAAACAAATGACAATGAAAACAAAGATGGTATCGTCACTTAGCTCTACAAACTACTCAGTCTATGTTAATATTGTAACATATATTTTGCCTACCACATGGGGTAGGTATGACTATAAGAGGTAGAAAATTGGGGACAGAAATTATTAGGGTGGAGATAGGGCAAGCAAAATAAACGATACTTGTGCGAACGGTACTAAGTGTTTGTTTGGAGAGCTGGGGTCGTGGATAAGTAAATGGCAAGGGGGTTGGATTGGGGCAACTAACAAAAAATGAAACAAAGGGGTTACTTACGTAAGTCTCTTGGAACAAACAAAACAAAAGGAAACACCTCTAGCCATTTAAAAAGGACGCCGCTTCGAGGTGCCAAATTATAACGATGACAATAACTAGTTGTAACTGTTGAAATAATTATTGGAAATGAAAAATATATCTTTTTTACATGAAACTCAAAAAAGGGGGTTAGAGAGAGAAATAAACAAAATGGTTAGGAAAAAAATTAAACATTTATTGTGTCTCACCACAAACAGTTACAAAATAGACAATGCAAGAATATTATAGATTTTATCATGTTTGACTTGTCACTGAAATTTTTCTATAATTAATTGTTTATTTTCAGGCGCTAGAAAATCTTTTTCCTTTGTTGGGTTAGGATCCCGTGCTCAAGGTAGGTCGATCCGATGCTTGAGTACGAGCTGTCATTTCTGCGTACTCAAGCTCGACTTCGTGCTTGAGAACGGTTTATAGAACACAAATTTGATTCAAGGTCGACCTCAAGTATCGATCGATACTTGAGCATCGTTTATAAATATGGGCCATTTATGCTCATATTACTTTTGTCTATATTCAAATTTATTAGCAAGAAAAATAGTGTAGGTCAAAAATCTTCTCTTGTCTTATAGATGGCAGCATCGGTTTGATTGCAAGCGAAACTACTCATACCGTAGTTAAATTGTGGTGTAAGTCTGACGCCACTTTTATATCAGCCAAGTGGCAGTTTTTGTGGATGCTGTCATTGACTGTTGAGTGCTGCGACGAAGTTTCCAGTGTATTAATTGAAAGTAATAATGGACCTAGTGTATATTCTTACTCAGGATCGGGCGAATGGCTACCATCGGACTCAGAAAATACAGGTAAGTCACATTATATTTACGTATACTGATGAAAAGTGTAACAACCACAAAATTGGTAATTAAACTTGGGTTCTAAAGTTAGCGGTTAGTACACGCATTGTTTTTAGGCAAAATTGTAAACGTAACGTAAATTCATGTAAACGTAAAATTACGTCTGGTCGGTTGTCGCTAACAATGTTTTTTTATTTCAGAAACTGATGTCGAGAACAGTGTACCTAATACATCTATAATACAAGATACACCGGAGGTATAACAAGAACATGAAAATCAACCTCGAACTAGGAAAAGCAGATGAATGGTAGTGTAGTAAAAAAACGAGCAAAACTAAGAAATACAGGTAAAGAATATACGACTAAACGTGGTAAAATTGTAGAAGGAACGGTATTTACTAACACGGACTGTTTTTGCAAGAAGAAATGTTTGCAACAAATAACAGAAGAAGCACGTGCTCATGCTTTTTAATCATTTTGGAAGTTAGGTTCCTTTAGTACACAAAATGCCTTTATATATGGTTTAATAAAACAAAGCATTTCCCAACAAAGACGCCCCAAAGATTAATCACGTTCTGCGTGATTGATCTCGCAGTAGTCTGATTGATAAGTCGGTTAGTACTCAATATTACATACAAGCACAAGAGCAAACCATCAATGTCTGTAAAAAGTCTTTCTTCAGACATTTAAGATATCTGATGGCCTTATGTCGAGGGCTATAAAAAGTTGCAAAATGAAAACGAACCTGTTGCACTTTGGAAATCGTTTTATGTAAATAAAATTTACTAATGTTTCGTATTTTAAGTACAATTTCCGAATTAGAAATCTAAAAATCAAAATAAGCTTATTTTAAAGTCACATTGTGCCTTATTCGCAATAACAATAATAAATTGCAATATGACACCACAATACAAAACCTTCTTACATAATTATTTGGCAACGTCGAGCTTTTAAAGTCAGGACTGCGAACTACCCCAAACTAGTGTTTGTAGATCTCTGACTGTAGTAACGAGAAAAACAGTAGAGGTGAGTCTTTGACGTTTTTATCGTTACTGAAACTGAACTGCTTTTCGTAAACAAGTAACAAGTTGAAAAACTAATTAAAATATATAATCGAGTACATAAACAAACAAACATGCTTTCTTGAATCAAAAAAATATATACTGAAATACTTTCAACGGCTTTTCAAATTTGCTGTAGTTGATTTATAACTAAGTTTTTCTTTGCAAAATTTGCATACAGCCTTCTCACTGTTAATCTCTCTTTCTCAAAGTGATGCCATAAAATACTAACATCTTTACGCGCAGACATGTTAAACACACAATTAGTTAATAAAGTAAATATTTAATACTCACAGAATAAATTCACATTTACGTTAAACAAAACTGTGATGTATTGGCAACCCTGCAGTGCGGTTACGTCACAATCAGCTGAGAAAACACTCAGGAATACAGACGCGACGATGACCTATTTAATGTATATTGTTATTTGCATTACGTTTTGGAGTGATCATTAAAGTCGGTAGTATTTCCTATACTGTGTTTATTATTTACAACCGGTCCGATACATATTATTTGGCGACGAGGATGGGATCCGTCTGTGTGACAGTTTAAGTGCATTATTTCGTCCCGGTGATAAATAAAGCAAATTGTGTGCAGGATGGCGGCGTTCGGAAACATCGAACAGTTTAACGTGGGTGACTCCAAAGGTTGGGAATCATACGTCGAGCGTATGGATTTTTTCTTCTTGGCAAATAACATTACAGACCCTGATAGGAAAAAAGCTACATTTTTAAGTTTGTGTGGTCTCAATACATATGAGATTATTAGATCTTTGGTCGCGCCGTCCAAAGTGTCTGATAAAACTTATGACCAAATCATAGTTGAATTAAAGAAGCATTTTTCTCCAAAAACGTCTGTGTATCTGAAGGAATTACGAAAATTGGCAGAACCCTGTGGTGTCGGAACTAGCCTTAACATAATGCTACGTGACCAACTCGTTTGTGGTATTACCGACGAATCGCTACAGCAAAAGTTGCTAGCCACAGATAAGTTAAAACTTAAGGACGCGCAAGACCTATGCCTTGCACACGAGGTGGCCGTGGAAAGTTTGGCAGTTCTACTAAAGGAAGAAATGTTTTCGGTGCGAAAAAGAACATTCTCCCGAAACTTGTGAACACATTAAATCAACCTGTGCATATTGCAGGAAAGTTGGACACATCGAAATAGCTTGTTTTGCAAAAAAGAACCAAAATCACAAACGCAAAGTACATCAGACTACCGTGGAATCTACGTCCAATACCGAGCCGGTTTCGGGGACACTCAGAGTGTTTTTTATTAAAGTAGTGACTATGAATTTACGTTAAATAACGTGACGTCTGATAGCATTACCGGTAAATATTTAGTAGATGTGCTACTCAATGACCAAAAAGTGAAAATGGAGGTTGATTCGGGCGGGAGTTATTCAGTGATAAGCAAATCAACCTACCATGAAATCTTTAGTGAAAATCGACCTAAAATAGATAAATCCAGTGTTATTTTAAGGGACTATCAAAACACAGTGATACCCACACTGGGTAAGTGTCAAGTGGAGGTAAAGAGAGGTCCAAGATCAGCGACACTTCCTCTCATAGTCACGGAAGGAAATCCAGTGCCAGTCTACTCGGCAGAAACTGGTTTGATAGTTTAGGTTTAACCATAGCTGGGGTAAGTCAAATTTTATCAATGATAAATTATACAGAAGAATACCCAGATGTATTTAATACAGATTTGGGGTCTTACCGGGGTCCCCCAGTAAGTTTTTCGTTGGACAAAAATGTAAAGCCGATTATGTGTAAAGCTCGTAAAGTTTCATTTGCGCTAAAAGATAAAATCGAAGTTGAACTGGACAGGCTTATTGCGAAAGGGGTTTTAGAGCCGATTACACACCCAAAATGGTGCACCCCAATTGTGACTGTTTGCAAAGAAAACGGTGAGGTTAGGATTTGTGGTGACTACAAATCCACATTGAATTTAGCGTTAAATCCGGAACCTTATTCAGTGCCATCGGTACAGGGTATCTTATCCACACTTGCGGGCGGTAAAGTTTTTGCAAAACTGGACATGGCGCAAGCTTATCTGCAGTTAAGTGTCAACCGCGAAGCTGCTGAAGCACACAAAATAATTACGCATAAAGGGGCTTTTAAATGCAATCGTTTACAGTTCGGTATATCAGTGGCTCCACACATTTTTCAAAAATTCATAGACACTCGATTAACGGGTATTCCTGGTGTACTACCTTATTACGATGACATTTTAATAGTTGGTAGCTCAGAAATAGACTTGGATTCAAAAGTGCGCGCGGTATTATCGCGTTTCCAGGAAGACGGACTGCATTTGCGCAAAGAAAAGTGCGTTTTTCGAACAAAAACTATAGAGTTTCTTGGTTTTCAAATTAGTGAAGACGGTTTACGCCCCACTAAAGACAAAATCGCGGCCCTAACTAATGCGCCTGCGCCAACCAATAAAACCGAGTTGCAAA